TGCATCTGGCCACCGCCAGTAGCAGCAGTAGCAGTAGTAGCAGCAGTAGCAGCAGCAGCAGCCTAGCAGCGGTAACAGAAGTAGCAGCGCGGGCAGGGCAGGCACGGCAGGCAGGCAGGCAGACAGGCAGGCAGGCAGGCAGGCAGGCAGGCAGGCAGGCAGGCAGGCGGCGCGGCAGCGTGCTTATTGGTGGTGGGCAGGGCCGGCGCTCGGCGGGCGGCGGGGCCGCAAACGTGGCTGCAAAGTCGGGCCGTGTCAGCTGCAGGGCGGGGCCGTGTCGGCGGCAGGGCGGGGCCGCGACAACGGCAGGGCAGGTCTGCGGCGGCGGCAGGTCGGGGCCGCGACAGCGGCAGGGTGGGGGGGGGACGCATCAGCGGCAGGGCGGGGTCGCGCGGGCGGGGCCGCGACAGGCAGGGCCGCGTTGGCGGTAGGGCAGGGCCGCGCGAGCTGATGGGCGCCGCTACAGCCAGGCAGGTGGCCGGGCGCGGGTGTAGGGCAACGCGACGGGCAGGCAGGCGGCCGTGCGCGGGCTGTAAGACGACGGGCAGGCGGCGGGGGGGGGGGGGGGGGGGGGGGGGGGGGGGGGGGGCGCGGGCTTGGGGCAACGCGACGGGCGGGCAGAGGGCCATGCGCGGGCTTGGGGCAACGCGACGGGCAGGCACGGGGCCGGGCGCGGGCTTAGGGCGACGCGACGGGCAGGCACGGGGCAGGTGCGGGCCTTAGGGCGACGCGACTGGCAGGCGGGGTCCAGGCGCGCGGTTGGGGCGACGCGACGAGCAAGCGGGTGGGGCCGGACGCGGGCTTAGGGCGACACGACGGGCAGGCAAGGCAGGCGCGGGCCTTAGGGGCGGCGCGACAGGCAGGCAAGGCAGGGCGCGTGTGGGGCAGCGCGGTAACCGCAGGCAGGCAGGCGTTCGGTGGGCCCAGGAAAAAAAAATCCGGTCCTAACGGACCAACCGCTCTGAAACCATGTTAGAACATCTAGGCAGGAATGAATTGAACTACGGTAGCAGCATGCAGGAGTACAAGTAGTAAATCCTACCCCATATGGGCTACCCCACTACAGCCTACACAATATGCAGCATATATAAATTGTGAAAGTGTACTTAGATCATCTTGCAAAGGCAGCGTTATCATTTCATATGGGGCAGCGTTATCATTTCATATGGGTTCTAGTACATCGTTCTCGTCCTATATAGGTCTACGTAACACCATACACAAATGGGTGGGCGGGTGGGAAATTAGAACTACAAACTGAGAAATGAAAACGTGGGTGGGGACGAATGTCCCCACGTCCCTCTTTTGTAGGCAAAAGAGGGCGAGTAGCGCTTCGGCGCTACCTTTGCTGTGCTGGCCACGTACCCCTTTTCACAATACAAAATTTTAGAAAGTGTTACATTTCATTACACTTTCAAAAATTATCATATTGTGAAAGTGTACTTAGATCATCTTGCAAAGGCAGCGTTATCATTTCATATGGGTCTTCTGAGGCAGGTGCAGTCGGGGCTGGCGGTGTTGTTCGATTGAAAGCTGATGCGTGGCGGGTGAGGGAGCCTTCGAAGGATCCTGCTACTGCGTGGAGAGGGAGATGAGCTGATCTTGCGCTATTGTAACGTATATCTCCTTTGCGCTGTCACTGCGCCATCGGCCCATGCGTTTGAAGAGCCGGTCAGGAACTCCGAGGCTTGCCGCCGCCGTGGCTGCACCTTTGCGGAATGAGTGGGTTCCGATGTGCGCGACATCTAGTCTAGCCTGCCTGCCGGCTGCGAGACACCAGTTCCTGATCGTGATGTAGGATGGCGATTTGTCGCCCGGTGTGGCTTGGGAGTGCTTTGGGAAAACCCTTATCAGCGGTCCATGTGGCACCTTTGTGAGGCCTGCGATGTGTATGAATTTGCGTGTGCACCGCACCGGGCAGTATGGGCCTGAAATTGCCGCCACGGGGATCCAGACACCCCTCCCTTCCTGGTCCGTCTTGGAATGCGGGATGAGCAGCCACATTACCTTCTCCTCAAACTGTACATCATTCCATTGGAGCGAGACGAGGTCGGAGTAGCGCAAGAATGCAGAAAACATGAGAAGAGGAATCAATCCTTTCTGAAATTCCGCAGGCATCGATGATTCGAGGAAGGGATGGGCCATTTCGTGTACTTGATGGAGAGATATAGGTTCTTTGGTCCTGGCAGGCCGAGGGCCATGTCGCTTGGCGAACTCTCGCACTTGCAGGGTGAATGGTCCCACCGTGGGGGAGGCTTCGCCTGTCACCGGTGGCCGAAGGCTACCGCCGAACATGTGAGGTTGATCGCAGAGAGAGTTGCTTTGTTGTTGAGCGCATGGATGAGATACAGCGCTAGCGTCAGGTCGGTTGCCGGTAGGAAGTCGAGCTTAACTTGGGTACAGAATATGCGAAATCTCTGCCAATAAGGTTGGTACGTCTCGATTGTAGATGGTGCGCGAACATGGCTAATTACGTGCATCAATTGTTGCTGTAGTTTGGCCAAAAGTCCTGAAATGACACATTAATGATTTTTATTAGATTGCATAGTTAACACGCAAAGCAATGATTGGGCTATGAGGCAATCTGAGACCGGAAAATGCAGTGGTGTGTGAGCCTGCCCGAAGGCATTGGCTGCCTTGGGCAAGGGAGAGGTGCGCGACTACCGCCGGGGTCCACGAGTGAGCGGATGGTTTGAGAAGCGGCCACCATGACGCCCCGGTCCACTGGGGAACTACCAATGTAAGTTCCGCCTGTGTGAGTTCGGCATGGCGGAGTGTAGCGGGGACTAAGTGTGGTGGCGGGAAGGCAAAGCACCTCTCGCCTTTCCAAGAAATGCGTCGACGGCAAACGCGTCGGGGTGCGGAATCTTGGAGCAGAAGCGCTGGACGTGATTGTTCCGGGCGTTAGCAAATAGATCAATCGTGTGCGGCCCCCAACGACGCTCTAGGAGGCAAAACTAAGGCGTATGTAGGGAGTAGTCATCATGATCTTGCAGCTTGGATAGGTCATCCGCATGGGCGTTGAGCGCTCTCGGAATCCATTCAATGGCGAGGCGTGTTGTGTTGCCTAGACAGAATTGGATGATCGCTTGGCATGTCAACGTAAGATCCGCCTGACGGGATCCCCCTTTGCGCAATATGAACATAACTGCCTGGTTGTCCACCCGGACGAGGACGTGAGCACCTGCAATTTGGGTTGCGAACGTCTGCAATGCCCAGAGCACGCCCTCGAGCTCTCGTCGCGTACTGGATGTGGGAGGAGCTCGCATGGCATGCGTTCGCTTGCTTCGCATGAAGCACTTGGGAACTTGGCCAAGGTGGCGCCCCAGCTGTGTGCGCTTGCGTCGACGTGGATCACGGCATCAAAGCGTTGACTCTGGTGGAATGGGGCACCATTGAAACGATCGAATTGCGTTGTCCAAAACAACAACTCCTCCGTCGCTCCTGGTGACAACATAACCTTCGCGTTCCATGACAACGCGGAGTCGATCAAGTGCAGTAGCTCATGGCTGAAGGCCCGTGCCGTCGTACCTAGCGCGAGCGACATGGAGCTGAGAAATCCAGTGATCCGGGCTATCTTACATATCGGCACTTGTCGACCCCCTTGACCTTGTTTACGAGGAGGTGGAGCTCATGTAGTAGTTGCTCGCGCCGATCTTTTCCGATGAGGAACATCCCTCGTTCCGTGTCGAGCTCCATCCCCAAGAAGCGTAGGTGGTGTGTGGGATGCAGGTTTGACTTTTTGGCATTTATCACGAATCCTGCCGCCTTCAGGTCTTGGAGAACTTCGATGCACGTCGAACGGGCTTGCGCCTCGGAATCGCACAGGAATAGTAAATCGTCCACGTATGGTACTACGCGCACTCCGCGCGCGCGCCATCTCTTGGCTAGTTGCTTAATAAGCTGGGTGAAGACGAACGGGGCTGTTGCCAAGCCGAAAGGTAAAGATTGTTGGGTGCAAATGCACATTGCACGACATCCTGCCGTCTGTTTGTACGAGTATGCGTGTGCGAATGCATTTGCGTGTGAATGGTGTGTTCGTGTGTTTGTTTGCTTTCGCATTTTTCGCTTGATGCATTTGCAGGTACTCGCGCAATGTGCGCTTCGGCACAACATTGTACGCGCTATGAATAGTGCAAGCAGAAAGGACGAGCTCGCAAAGGAACCCAAGATGGAAGCTTTGCAGTTCGGTTGAGTTGATTGCGCAGATTCAGTTCTATCCAACTCGAAATTGTACTGTTTTGTTTGGTTAACTATAGTGTAGCAGGGAAGGCACTATAGGGGTACAATTTAGGTGAAGGTTGGATGTTGTTTGTCTGTATCTGCATGCTACAAGGCCAGGGGAAACCAGCGGAACCAGCATTTGGCTGGTTGGGCAAAGACAAAACAGGTTCTGTTTTTAGAACCTGAACCTGGTTGTTGTTTTCCCAGGTTGGAAAAACAGAACCAGAGGTTGTTTACCAACCTACCACCTGCTATTTTGTCTAGCCAGGTTGGTTCTGTTGCTTGGAATTATTTGGGATCATCCCTGGTTGTTCCCAGGTTGATTCCCAAGGTCCTTGCTAGCTAGAACTATTTAATCCTTCTCTGTTTGTACCTGAATATAGTCAAATTGATTCAAGCGAATTCCTTCCTCGCTGGAGTTTCATTTCTGCGCTATTCGACGGCGGAATGCTACCCGAGTCAACGCTAGTATGCTAGCACTCCAACGCTAGGCAAACGCTGTCCGAGCCATAACTTAGTAATGGCAGAACTTTTCGCGAGGCAACTTGGCTCATTCTAAAGCTCTTGGAGCGAGCTTCGATATAGCGAATTCTCAGCTTAATCCGACCGACGGTCTGCACGGCACGCTGCGCGACGTTCAAGGTGCTCTTGCTGTTTTGACTAAGTCCTTGATCCCTCTCTCTACAAACTCGGACCCGAGGATAGGGGCTGGTCTTGTACCAGGCACCCAGGGACCCTTGGAGGTGACCCCGAGGAGAGGTTTTAAGTTTGATTAAGTCCTAATAGCTTGAGTTTATTAGGCCCTTACACCAACAACCACTGCTGCCGCCACCACTCCCACTACTGCCACCACCGCCGCCACCACTCCCACCGCTACCACCACCGCCGCCACCGACGCCTCCACCCCCACCACCACTCCCACCACCACTACCGCCACCACCACCACCTCCACCGCCTCCACCACCGCCTCCACCGCCTCCACCACCTCCTCCACTGCCGCCACCCCCACCACCCTTGCCTCCCTTGCCCTTGCCGCTGCGGCGCTTCCCACTAGGAGCAGAAGCAGCCCTGACTTCCTCAGCACGAAGGAAGTCAACAGCAGCAGCAGAAGCGACAGAGGGGGCAAGGGGGGAGGGGGAACACCCCTCAAAGAGGGGAGTGCGAGGAGTGCCACGAGCAGCACCTACAGCGACTATGCTAGTCTCAGCTGCAAGGAGTTGCTTCTCGAGCAGGTCGACAGTGAGGTCTGTGGGGTCAAGGGCGAGAAAGTGGTCCCTCACAGCGCGAAGAGAGTTAGGGAGGCGGGTGGCGATGAAGTAGAGAGTGATGTACGTGGGGGGTGGGTTCTTGTCTAGAAACTCGGCTTTAAGCGCGGCACGGTAGCAAGTGTCGCTAGTGCGAAGGTGGGTGATGAGGTCGTCGACTGTGGAAAAGTCAGACAGCTCGGGAAAGAGGTAGGGCAGTATGAGTCGGCCTAGAGCAGCAGTGGCAGGGGAGGAGTAACGAGCGATTACAGCATCAAACTGTGCCTTAGCAGTCTTGTGCTGGCCAAAGTGTGCGCGTTCGGATAACGGCATGTGGTTGCGAACGGCGAAGCGAGCAGTAGCGTCGCGGGTAAGCCACTATGAGCGAGTCGCACTGTCAGCTGTCTCGGGAGGAGCAAGAGAGGTCCCAGACGTGTGGTCAAACAAGGAGACGCCGTCCCTGGACTTGCTCTGTAGGTACAGCTGTAAGTCGTCTAGCCAGGTCTCAAACTGGATCGGACGACCCTCATAATCGAAGGTGAGAACACTAATAGAGGCCATAACGGGAAGAGTAGGGTGGCGCACGACCAGTAGGGCAGCACACAGGCAAGGCAGGGTGGTGCGCAGGCAGCAGGAAGGCGCGCAAGGCAGGGCGGGGCGGCGCGCAGGCACTAGGGAGGCGCGCAAGCCAGGGCGGGGCGGCGCGCGGCCAGGGAAAGGCGGCGCGTGGCCAGGGCAGGGCGGCGCGCGGGCACGGAGGGCGGCGCGACGGGCAGATCAGGGCGGCGCACGGGCGACGGGCAGGGCAGGGCGTGCGCGGGCGGCGCGACGCAGGGCAGGGCGTGCGCGGGCGAAGCGACGCAGGGCAGGGCATGCGCGGGCGGCGCGACACAGGGCAGGGCGTGCGCGGGCAGCGCGACGCAGGGCAGGGCGTGCGCGGGGCGGCGCGACGTAGGGCACGGCGTGCGCGGGCAGCGCGACGCAGGGCAGGGCGTGCGCGGGGCGGCGCGACGCAGGGCAGGGCGTGCGCGGGGCAGCGCAACGCGGGGCAGGGCAGGGCGTGCGCGGGCAGCACGCCGCAGCAGGGCAGGGCGTTCGCGAGCGGCGCGACGCAGGGCAGGGCGTGCGCGGGGCGGCGCAACGCAGGGTGGGGCAGGGCGTGGGGGACTGGTGGGGTACTGTTCGGTGGGCCCTACAAGAAACAGTCCTGGAACAGGACCCGCTCTGAAACCATGTCAAGAAACTGGACGAGAATGAATCCATTGAGAGGAAGATGGGTACAAGTACTAACCCTAAATTGGGTTGTACCCCTTATGGGCTACCCCATTACAGCCTACACAACATAAGAGCGTGTTCCTACGGCCTCTAGTCAGGCTGGCCCCCCTTCAGACTCGCCTCAAACACTAATATTTCAGATTCAACCCGCTTTTTATTATCTCTTTTCTTGTTGCTTGGCGAATTGAGCTTCATAATGCGTGGGTGACGTGGCACTGCGCATCACGCCCGAAGGTCGGAAAGGAACAATTGTTAGAACATCTAGGCAGGAATGAATTGAACTAGCAGGATGTAGGAGTACAAGTAGTAAACCCTAATTGGGTTGTACCCCATATGGGCTACCCCACTACAGCCTACACAATATGCAGCATATATAATTTGACACACCCCCATAGGCAAAGTGGGGGAGAGCAAGGGGTCACAAGACCAGTCAAGAAAAGCAAAGCAAGCTCAGGGTGGATCACAATGTCACCACACACACTGAGCACAAGCAAAGGGCTACAAGGCCAGTTCACATGCAGAGGTATATATGCAACAAGAACAGTACAGTGATCACTACCTAGCAAGAGCAAGCATGCAGGTATATATATAGATCACAATACAAGCAAAGTCTACAGCAAGTGTGGAAACGTAGGCACAAGGCCCAACAAAGTACAAAAGCGCTGATGGTCACCAGACGGAAGTGCCTTGGTGAATATATCAGCAGTGTTGGCTCGAGTGGCCACGTGTGCAAGACGAAGCTGACCACGCTGCTGCAACTCTCGAGCCAGGAAGTAACGGAGAGCGATGTGCTTCGTTCTGTGCTCCAGTCTGTGCTCCTCACACAAGGCAATGGCAACCTTGTTGTCGACGTACAGCACTGGAGGAAAACGAGGCCGCTCTCCCAAGTCGGTCAGCAGGTAGGTGAGCCAGCATAACTCCTGAGCAGCCATGGCAGTGGCGTAGATCTCAGCCTCACAACTGGAGCTGAGAACAGAAGACGAGCGAGTAGAACGCCAAGAAACAGAACCGGAGCCAAGGCTGAAAGTGTAACCCTGTGACGACCGCTGCGTAGCCTGGTCGTCAACCCAAGAAGCGTCTGAGTGCCCAGTGAGGACCACCTCTCGCCGTCCTCCAAGCACGAGCCCCATGCCCGATGTACTGCACAAGTAACGCAACACCCTCTTCGCGGCATCCCAGTGCACCTTTCGGTGTCGACCAGGAGCCACGTAGCGTGCCAGAAGGCCAAGAGGGTACGCAAGGTCAGGATGAGTGCAGGGCATCAGGTACATGAGGCAGCCCACTAACTCTGGGTAAGGGCCACTCGGCTCTACGGACTCGTCCGAAGGTGGAGCTGAGAGCGAGTGACCTGTAGCCAGAGGAGTGGCCTGTGGCGAGGACCAGGTGAAGCCGAAGCGTTGAAGGACCTGCTGCACCATGTGTGACTGAGTCAGTGTGATGGTGCGACGTGCTCGGTCCCGGGTGATCTGCAAGCCAAGGTAACTGCGCAGCTCACCCAGGTCAGTGCACGTGTGTCTCTTCTGCAGCTCCGACTTCACCAGGGCGAGAGCCTCAGTGTCAGTAGTGGCAAAAACCAAGTCGTCGACATACACGAGGATGTAGAACGGCGGCAGCGAAGTGTCGGTGCGCAGAAACAGCGACGGGTCAGCAGTCGAAGGAGCAAACCCAAGAGCCGCAAGTGTAGTCCTCGCTGTATCGTGCCACTCACAGGGCGCCTGGCGGAGACCGTAGACTGGCCATCGGAGGCTCCACGGGGTACCAGGCGGGAACGACCCAGTGAAGCCAGGTGGGCGGCGCAGCCAGATCTCCTCGTGCAGGCTACCCTGTAAGAAGGCTGTGCTGAAGTCCAGTGAGTGAAGCTCGTAGTCACGCTGAGCGGCAACGTGCAGCAGCACCCGAAGAGTGGTCATCTTTGGGGTGGGGGAGAAGGTCTGGAAGAAGTCAACTCCCTCTCGCTGACTGAAGCCTCGAGCAACGTAACGAGCCTTGAAGACAGGCGGAGAACCCGGCGGCCGCTTCACCCTGAAAATCCACATGCCATCGACGATGTTCGCCCTAGGAGGGGGAACCTCGTCAACGTAAGTGCTTGTGGACTTCCAGGATGCCATCTCTGCGTCCATGGCTGTCTGCCACTGAGAGGAGTAAGGACCCGCGATCGCCTCAGCGTAAGAGCGCGGGGTAGGGATGTCTAGAGCATCCGGGTCTCCCTCAGGGGCAAGCAGCATGGCCACAAGATGAGGTGCAGTGGCCGCAAGACACTCAAGGTCCTCCTGTCTGTCCTCAAGGACGTCCGTGCCAAGAGCACACTCACCCCCGACAAACGGAGAACAGACAGACGCAGACTCAGCAACAAGAGCAGTGGCGTAGTCTAGACGACAGGCAGCAGCAAAGTCAACAAGCTCAGCGACCAAGGCAGACGCAGCAGCAGACTCAAACGACGGGTCAGTGACAACTGTGGCTAACAGACGCGTGACAGTAGGGTGCTTAGCACGAAACCGGTCAGACTCAGGATCCGGAACGTCAGGCAGAGAGGACGCAGGGGGGGACGGCAGAGGAACAGACTGCGGAGCAGAGGAAGGACGACGGACTACGAGGCGTGTGCAGAGGACAGCTGGCTGACGCGAACGAGGAACACGACGACCGGAACGACCAGAGGGGACAAGTGAGACAGGACGCGACGCAGGCTCACGATGCTCAGCAAGACCCCCAGTCTGCTCAGTGTAAGGAGAAGGAGCAGGCAGTGGGGAGCCAGGCTGTAACGGAAGACCAGTAGACGACGGGAGGCTAAGAACCTGGCGAAGCACAGAGTCAGGCGGTGGCGGGGACGACGAAGACGGCGGAGCGAAGAATAGTCTCAGCTGCGCCGTGGCACCAGCACCAGCAGCTCCAGCGCCCCCAGTAGCTCCAGAACCTCCAGCGCCAGCTCCTCCAGGACCAGCTCCACCAGCAGCAGCACCCCTTGAATCGGAACCTCCAGTCCCAGGGTCTCCAACCGCAGTGTCTCCAGCAGCAGCACCCCCAGAACTGGCAGAGCCCCGAGCTCCAGCAGCGCGACCCTGACGGCGACCGTACCAGTCGTGCAGCTGCTGTGAGGTGAGAGGCACACGCGGACGAAGGCGGCCACTCCACGGAGGATGTTGGGTGCAAATGCACATTGCACGACATCCTGCCGTCTGTTTGTACGAGTATGCGTGTGCGAATGCATTTGCGTGTGAATGGTGTGTTCGTGTGTTTGTTTTCTTTCGCATTTTTCGCTTGATGCATTTGCAGGTACTCGCGCAATGTGCGCTTCGGCACAACATTGTATGCGCTATGAACAGTGCAAGCAGGAAGGACGAGCTCGCAAAGGAACCCAAGATGGAAGCTTTGCAGTTCGGTTGAGTTGATTGCGCAGATTCAGTTCTATCCAACTCGAAATTGTACTGTTTTGTTTGGTTAACTATAGTGTAGCAGGGAAGGCACTATAGGGGTACAATTTAGGTGAAGGTTGGATGTTGTTTGTCTGTATCTGCATGCTACAAGGCCAGGGGAAACCAGCGGAACCAGCATTTGGCTGGTTGGGCAAAGACAAAACAGGTTCTGTTTTTAGAACCTGAACCTGGTTGTTGTTTTCCCAGGTTGGAAAAACAGAACCAGAGGTTGTTTACCAACCTACCACCTGCTATTTTGTCCAGCCAGGTTGGTTCTGTTGCTTGGAATTATTTGGGATCATCCCTGGTTGTTCCCAGGTTGATTCCCAAGGTCCTTGCTAGCTAGAACTATTTAATCCTTCTCTGTTTGTACCTGAATATAGTCAAATTGATTCAAGCGAATTCCTTCCTCGCTGGAATTTCGTTTCTGCGCTATTCGACGGCGGAATGCTACCCGAGTCAACGCTAGTATGCTAGCACTCCAACGCTAGGCAAACGCTGTCCGAGCCATAACTTAGTAATGGCAGAACTTTTCGCGAGGCAACTTGGCTCATTTTAAAGCTCTTGGAGCGAGCTTCGATATAGCGAATTCTCAGCTTAATCCGACCGACGGTCTGCACGGCACGCTGCGCGACGTTCAAGGTACTC